TTAGGTCTTTGAGTCAGTGCCAGTTATACACAGTCAAACTAATGTTTGGGATGCCTGTGTCTAGTTACCTTTTCTTTTGAGTTTGGGATATCTGTATTTATTAGTCTTCCTTCCTTTTTTTTCAGGTCTTTGAATGCCAGTTACATACAATTAAACTAATGGCTAAGTACACAAGCAGTGAAGGCAGTTATGTCGTAGAAAAGTCATTAACTCGTCAGTTAATGAAGCTGTACAACATTTCTGAGATTATTTATGGAGAAGAGGAATTGAAAGCACTGTCCTTTCAACTGTCTTATGTCCTGCAGTTAACAGATTTCTGGGTGTCRTATAAGGGTGGCACTTATGTGTCTGACCATTTGATAATATTTGATGTAAGTAGATTACTTTGTCCAATTTATAATCACACAACTTTAGAAATGATAACTAAAAGTGGGAAGCAAGGGTGGCGTAGAGGTGAGAGCACTCACCTCTCACCAATGTTACACAAGTTTTATTATAGGAATTGGTCTCATTTGTAAAAGCTTTGCATATTTTATATACTGAAGTTCCAGTCATGACATCAATGCAGTACCATTGTAGGCATGCCACAATTATTCCTTATATCTAACAGGTTTGCTATTCTTTTACTTCAAAGGTTGTGTCCGCTCTCCTTAAGGCAYCACAGGTATCCCAACACATCCCTACTCCTCTTCTCAACCTCACCTCTTCAATTCTTCTGGCCGACTTCTCTGGTTTGCATAAAGACATACATCAAAAGCAGCTGATTAAAAACGTTTTTCATAGTGATCGACACCCACCTATTGAATACCCTTTGGACAAAGTGTTGGATTTTACCAGAAGTCTATTAAAATGGTCGTCATTTACGAGTGATGTTTTACCTCTAGTCCTAACATACTGTCAATCAAAACTGTTCAGCGGAGTCAGTAATGAAGACAAAGCATCAATAATCCTAATATTGACCCAGATTGTATTATCAGGAGTGGTTAACAAGGATTATGGTGTCGATATCACATCTAGGAAGGGGTTGATATACTTCCCAAAGTCTGCGACAAAGAATGGAGGAAAGATACTTGACTGTTTATTGGAGTGTTTAGAAGTGGTTGATAATAATTCTAATCTTGGTCTTGTGTGGGGAGCGTTGGTTTGTGTACCATGTAWCAGGTAAGTTCTTTCATGCTTTATGGCACTTTTATTGCTATAATACATGGTACTCAAGTCTCGAGTTCTCTGTTGCTCAGGCTTAGCCTCGATTTTGTGTAGAGTATTCATGTGTTCCAGTGAAGGTCTGTTGAATTTCAAAGTGTTCGTATTGTTGAAGTTGTGCATTCTTTACTTGCCCATTAGTATTTGTGAATATTCAAACRCTGATACGAGGCTACCCATGAGTAAATGAGTCTGTAATCAAAGAATACAGCTGTTCTTCACGAACGCAAAAAGGCTCTTCCAATTTGCAGCCACACGCGAATTTTCTTCTTTGCGCATGCTCGGATGATCGTTTTTGCGTCAGCTAATCAGAATTCATTTTCCAACTCCACTTAGTTACCGTTGCTATGCTTCACAAGTTTTAACCTAGATGATTCAGAATTAAAAATGCAGGAAATTTATCTTTTTTTTCTTTGAATTTTTTACAGGCCGCTTCCTGGTCCAAAGTGTGCAAAGAAGATTCTAGACTTTTTAACACGAAGCCTAGAGCTCCTACAATTAGAAGAAGATATCCAGAATACACAACACTGGCTGTTTGTGATCTCACAGGCTGTTATGTCATACCTTATCATGAATCCACAACCGAAAAATAAAGACGAGCAGCTTGGAATGGACTTTGTCTTGGAAATATTGAGGTAAAATTGTCTTGTAGTTGGATGAATTAAATGCGCAACGATTTAGACCTCACATTATGCTGTACCATCTATGTAAAAGATGCCTTAGAGCAGCTTTCCTATGACTGCGGAAAAATGCGTGGTTCAAGTATGTCTTGACCGTGACGGTTTCATGTCCAAGCATCCTGATTGGATAGGCAGTGATATCGTGCGCTGTGATTGGTTAAAAGAATGTAGTCAGTTCCGTACCGTCACCGTGACAGTGCCATTTCCAAGCGTTCTGATTGGATAAGCAATAATCAAGCGTTGTGATTGGTTAAAACGATGTCAACATTTCCAAAACCCTCTGCAAGTTAGGCGAGTCAAGGCTGATCAAAGTCAGGGCATAACTAACTCAGAACTGGAATTTAGATACTTAGGTTTTGTGGCGAAAGAAAAACCAGAGAATAGGTTTTACACGTGTAAAAAAATCTTTCATGTGGCTGAATTTTATTATTTATTTTTTTCTATAGTAAATATCCTGATAATGTACACGTTCTGCATTCAATCGCCGCCATCTTCTCACATGCTAAATCGACCAATCAGAAGGACGTGCTTTCGACAGATAATTTAAGGAGAGTTTGTCCTTTGATCAAGGCGAACTTGTCCAATCCTGCGCATCTAGTCAGGCAGAAAACACTGGAGATATTGAAGGAATTTGAGCAGATGAAGCTTATTGCCACCGAAGAGGTATGTTAAAGAGCTGAATTATGGTCGTCTTGATATATATACATACGCCTTTTGGAGACCCCGAAAAACGAGTATAAGACTCAACAATGCTCCTTCTCCTCATCTCTCTATGTCTTTCGTACTCTTTTCTCCTCTTCTGGTCATATTTTTCTCAAACGACAAGTATCAAATTCCTCTTTGAAGAGCAAATAGTTTCGGAAAAAAGATTTCTTCGCTGTACATAAAGAATCCTTGACAAAAACAAACGAACAAAAAAATCTCGGTTTTCTTTGAAGAAAGCCAACAAATGTTCTGCTTCAAACTCCACAGGATTCCCAACCAGGAAAATGTAACCTCTTCCAGGTCTGTCTGGAAGCCGAGTCTACTCTTCCCACCTTCCAGCATTATCGTGACAAGGAAATCCTTCTGCGCAAACTCACCTACTCGACGTCTCACCACGAAAGCCTGCCTGAATTCTACCATGACGTCACGCCAAGGTTTTTGATTGGTCAGCTGTATATTAACTTTAGTCCCACATGGCAACCAGTGATGGAGATATTGAAGTCCCATGCGCATGGGCAGGACTTGAAGACGTTTTGGGCTGTGCTTCATGAATACCTTGAATTGGCTGCAACCAATGCTGGTAAGGAGTCTGAATAAAAGCGAGTCTGATTTTAATTTCATTTACCAGCTTGACAAAGTATCAACAAACCACAGAGTAACTCTTAGACCTTCGCGTGAGTTTGAAATTGTACATCGATCACACTGCGTCATGTTTATTCCCATTAGTTTAAACCCACGTAAACTCATTCTAAAGCGCTTAACGTGGGGGAAAATCTATTGCTCCAGCTAACATGCCTGCCACGTGAGTAAAGTCCATAACATGAGCCTTTTTTATGGTTTGTACGCTTGCACCATCACGTTATGGCAGCCATGACAGGAGGCAGGAACAATCGAATCTGGTCTAATGGGATTTACATGAGAAAGAATTCAGTTTCCCAGGTGAAAAAGAGTCTATTCTTGTGCCTCCTGTCATGGCTGCCATCACGTGACGGTGCAAAACCTCTATTGTGAACTTCCAAACCATAAGGGACAACTTATCTTAATGAAAAGTTCACTGGTTGATACTTGTGTTTCTTTGTACTGACAGAAAAAGCACTTGATTCTGACGAAACACGAACAAGTGACATCATAAGATACGAAGAAGGACAGACAGACAGCCTTGATGAACTCTTTACCAGCCTGTTCAATGTGGCCACCGGACCAAGARAAGACAACCGCACGGACCATATTAATTTTCGTCATCTGTTGTGGAAGACGATGGCGGAGTTCCCTGGGGTCGTGGAACTGAAGTCACGTGACCTTGTTCCTCTGTTGTTGCGATTTATGAGGTAATGCTGATTGACATGTGACGTCATATTGTTGTTTTGATTATTTTAAGAGCTTTTAAGTTGTGACATATTTCCGTATCCAGAAGGTAACTGCTAAAAATAGAAATTGGATCCACTATTTTTCTTCTAATTCTAGCTTGAAGAATTTTTAACAGTTATCTTTAATTGCAAAAATATTTGGATTAAAAATTTTAAAAATCTTTGCGATAAAAATCAGAAATACTGAACTTTACAGAACTACTGTTCAATTTGCTAGCATGCAAAACGGCTCTCTGGCGCGGGGGTTAGGCCGTTTCGCAGGCTAATTTGGGCCTGCAAATCTTGATTATAATTTTTTTTATAAAATATGTCATCACTTGTTTGGTTTAATCGTGATTTCTTTCTCCTTTGTTCTTCCTAATTTTTCAATTTCTTTATTTTCGGTTAAATTWAATTTAATTTCTCAGCAACGAATACGAGCGGTGTGACGAGAATACGATCCCTTCACAAGACATCCGCAAGAAAGAGCAACAAGACAACCATGACGTCACTGTTTCCATGGCAACCGATCATGACGAATCAGTTGCGACTGACCAAGAAAAACCAGAACACACCCACACAAAAAGACGCAAGGGAGCTACCAAATCTCTTTGTGTTCATCTTACTCTCTTCAGCCTATTTCATAATCCCAAGGCTTTGTCGAAAGAGCCCCAGGTCAGGAGAATCTACATGACGATGCTGAGTCATAGAGACAGTGAAGTACAGAAAATAGCTGTCAAATGCCTGATGTCGTACAAGTTCTCTTATGTCATGCCGTATAAAGATAATCTTGAGCGGTTGTTAGAAGACGAGAGTTTTAGGGATGAGCTGGCTCTTCTGACTGAGGATGAAGGGAATGCTGTAGTTGAMGCTGCCCACCGTGAAGGACTGATGCCCATTGTGATTAGGTAATATATACTACAGATACCACTACACCACACCACACTATACCACATTACACTAGACAATAACACACCACACCACACTTCGACCAATATACCACACCACACATTTTCCTTTACACAACACCACAGCACAGCACACCATACCACACTGCAGCACACCACACACCACCACACCAAACCAAACCACACTCATTTGTACCACCCCATGTTATGCTAGGCCACCCCACATCACATCACACAAAATCCATCTCAACACACCCTAATGCGTTGCAACTCAGCTTTGCACCTCACCATACAACACCACGAGATGCTATGCTCATTTTGTACCTCACCACGTCAACATCACTGTGGTTTATTCTTGTTCAGTACTACGTGTTGAAGAGCGAGTACTCGATACTCTCTAGATTATTCACAAAAGATCTGAAACATTACACTCTCCCCAGGCTTCTCTACGGTAAAATGCAGAGGTGGACTGGGGCTGGTTCCTCAGGCAAGTCTGGTATTGGCGTCCGTCGTGCAACTGTCCTGCGTTTCCTTGGAAACTGTTCGTTAGAGGAATTGACAGTTTTCATGGATTTGATTCTTGCTCCCTTCAAACACTTGTGCGCAGGTAAGTAATCACGCGACTGCTGCCATGTTGGATGACAGTGAAGTTGCCACCCAACATGGCAACCTTATATGGTCATAAACGTTTGAGGCACTCGAATTATAACTATGATTTCTTTAGATCCTGACGTCATTCCAACACCACGTGACCTATCCTCAGTCGTACCAATCAGGAAGCAGCTTGGCTTTCTCAACATGATGCAACATCTTCTCCTCAACCTCGGAGGAGCCTTTGATTCGTTTTTACCTTCTTTGCTACAAATATGTCTGTCCCTTCTCTCAACTTGTGTCTTCGCTCTTGAGAAGCGTGAGGAGGTGAGTCGAACGATGGCGAAACTTTCAGGCTTAGTCACGTGAAATAATGGCGTCATTTGATGGCGTTTGATGTGACGTCATTAGTTTGTAGTGATGTCACCTGGTGACTTAGTCATATTTTTAGTAAATATGACTCATTTTTTACAATAAAGAGTGTTAACTATAGTATCTCGCCTTAGTGACGTCAAATAATGACGTCATTATATAACGACATTAATTGGTAGAGTGACGTCATTAAGTTGCTGGCGTGTCATAGTGTGACGTTTTCTTACAATCAAGAATGATGACTTTAGTATTATTTTTCCAGTAATGATAAAAGGGTAAATTATACACCGTGAAAAGATGAAAGAACTTACTGACGTATTTTATTTTATTTTATTTTTCCAGCTTCATCCTCCACATATCTCGCAGTTAAAGCAAGTTCGACAACTCGCCATCTCCCGTTTGATCGAGTTCTTCGAAGCCAAACCTGATTATGATTATTCACGAGTCATTAATGCAGTTTACGAAGCAGCAGTTTGGCCACAGGTACGACATTTCCTTATACCTGTATATGTTTGTAAATTATATATTAGTTATACAATTATTTTCAGTGGCATGCCATGGTATATTTCACAAGGCACTTTAATTTTCTAGTAAACATAAAAGCTTTCAGACAAGTAAGTATGAAAGAAAATACTAGTGTCAAATAATGGGATATTCTATGGTGTTCTACAGGAAAGCATTGTATACCGCCGAATATACAACGGTTTTCCTCCATCCTGATTGGCTGTATTTATAATTGTGCGGGATAAATGCCCATGTATAATAGTTTCCATATACGAGATAAATTTTATGATGTTAATTAAATTATTGATTTGTATTAATTTATTATTAATTAGCTTGATAACCTGGAACAAGAGAGCATCCAAAGCCCTACTCCTATGTTGAGACTTCTTTCCACTTGGACCAAAAGGTTTCGCTACTTTCCACTTCTCTCAAGAAAGCCACCCAACCGTCCCGACACGTCAATCATGGGTCACGTGTTCAACTGTTTAAATGCTTGTAATGTTAGTCATTCAGTTGTTACCATGGTGATGGAGATGGCAGACAATTTACTGAGTGTGTCAGAGGATGATGGGACAGGACAGGACATGATGGAAATGGGTACAGAACTAAGGTAAGTTGCCTGCTTATTACTGTTGTTATACTGCTATTGCTGCTGCTGTGGTCGTTGTTGTTGTTGTTGCTGTTGTTGTTACTGTTGTTGTTTATGCCGTTGTCGTTGCGTCTATTGTTTATGCTGCTGTTGCTGCTGCTGTTGCTGCTGCTGTTGTTGCTACTGTTGTTGCTGCTGTTGTTGCTGCTGTTGTCGTTGTTGTTGTCGTTGCTTCTGTTGTTGCTGTTGTCGTTGCTGCTGTTGTTGCTGTTGTTGTTGTTGTTGCTGTTGTTGTTGATGCTGTTGTTGTCGTGGCTTCTCTTACCCTAATGTCATATCGTCTTTATATTCAAGCTCAACATCATCGCAAGAATCAAGCATCCCCTACGGAACTCGAATACTTCTTCCCCACCTATCCGTCATCATACAACATCTGGTTCAAACAGTCAAAGCTCTAACCAAGTCATCCAAACAAGGTCCAAGAAAAAGCAAAGCAGCTCTTCCTAAACTCGAACTCTCGGTACTTTCTAAAATCAGCCCCTTCGTGTCAGACCCAGAAAATTCCGCAGCTCTCATCAAACTTCTTTTGCCGTTCATATATCTTCGCCAAAGAGAAGAAACTGAGACAGATACCTTAAGTACGATAAAAAACCTGCTATCTAATGTTGAAACTCCTGCGAGTTTTGCCAAACCGCTTGGAAGGTTGTTCGCTCAGCTTAACTCTCGAACCTCGAGGCAACGACTTTGTGAAGTGTTTGAAGAGATTGCTAGACTTGATCCGAACTATGAAACCGTCTCAGTGATTGTCACGCAAATGAACTCTTGGGATAGAAAGAAGATTGAAGAACCAGACTACGGGAAAAGAATGACGGGCTTTGYGTCTGCAGTTGACCTCATTTCACGAGGAGAAATTGAAGATATGATTGAAGACGCGGGTTCTCCACCCACTCCCCCCATTAATGATTCTCCACCAATTGACTTCATTCTGGTTATTTTGCACAACTGTCTCTACTTTGTGCATCGCAGTGATGATATGGCAATCAGAGATGGAGCGATTGGGTGCATCAACTCCATTATACAGCGCGTAGCAGGATGTAACGAGAGTGAGGAGTTCCACGAACTGATTATCAACTGTGTTTTACCTTCTTGTAAACTAGCTTTTCGATCTAAGAACGAGGTATGGGTAAAGTTTCATAGTTTTTAATTGATTTTAATCAGGAACATAAGGGAAAAACGAGGGTGGTGTAGCGATAGTGCACTCGCCTCTCACCTCTTGGGTCTCGGTTAGGTCTCTCCTTTGATTCGAAGGTTTTTTCTGGGTTGTCCGGTTTTTCTCCCTTCGCAAAACGCTAAATTCCAATTCGATCTTTGAGTTGTCAGAAAATAGAAAATACAAATCAAAAAACTGTATGAAAATACCTTCATTTCATTTCAAGAAAAACTTCAATTGTTTTTCTAATAAATCAATCAAAGTCATTGATTGTTATTTTTTACAGGCCGCGAGGAACGAGTTCGTTGGTATCCTAGCAACAATGGTACGTCAGTTTGACCACGTGACCTTTGAGGATATGCGTATTCTTGTGGATAAAGATCCCGAGGCTGACTTCTTTGAGAATATTAGACACATACAGGTAAGGTACAAGGGTATAGTGTACTGTATATGTTATCAGTATCGATGGTGATGGTGATGGTGACGGTGATGATGGTAGTAATGCTTTAGTTGATGATGATATATTGATGATTAATGATGATAAATGTTGTGGTGATGGTGACGGTGATGATGGTAGTGATGCTTTAGTTGATGATGATATATTGATGGTTAATGATGATATATTGATGATAAATGTTGTGGTGATGGTGATGGTGGTGGTGACGGTGATGATGGTAGTGATGCTTTAGTTGATGATATATTGATGATTAACTGCTGATGGTGATGATCATGGTGATGGGGTTAACATTGTTGCTGATGATGATGTATAGYGATGATGATGATGAAGCTGTTGCTTCGGTTACTGATGATGACAATGATGGTTGATGGTGATGTTAATCATGGTGGCGGTTGTAATGTCGCTATTGCTGCTGATGATGGATGATGATGATGATGTATGGTGATGATGATGATGACGCTGTTGCTGCGGTTACTGATGGTGACAATGATGATGGATGATCATGGTGGTGGTGGTGTTAATGGTGCTACTGCTGCTGCTGGTGATGTTGGATGATAATGATGCTATAGCCGCGGTTACTTATGGTGACAATAATGATGGATGGTCATGATGATCATGGTGGTGGTGGTGTTAATGTTGCTACTGTTGCTGATGATGATGGTGGTGATGATGATGCTGTTGCTGCGGTTGCTGATGATGACAATGATGATGGATGGTCATGATGATCATGGTGGTGATGGTGTTAATGGTACTACTGTTGTTCATGTTTACTATGGTCACCATTTAAAAGTCTTATTAATTCTCTGTTGCAGCTGCATCGTCGTATTCGTGCTCTCCGTCGAGTAGAATCTCTCTGCCGGGAAAACACTTTCAAACCATCCACCCTATTGGCCTTCCTGTTGCCCTTGGCAACGGTCTATTTGTTCGAGTACTCGGGCAACAAAGATCATAATTTGGTGACCCAAGCTATCTCTACCGTGGGTGCSATATCTGCTTGCTTGCCATGGTCCAAGTACTCCAACTTGCTCAGACTCTATTTACGCATGTTGAAGAAAGAGAAGGAAAGACAGAAAGTTGTCGTAAGGTACGTTGCTTATTGCTTCATTTTATCCTGAAAAGTCCTTAAATGGGTAGAGAAAACTTCGTAGGACCGTGGAAAACTTACTAAAAGGACATGTGTTGCCGTGCCGTGCCATGACCGTGACGGTATGRCATCCGTGTCTTGGCTGCACAATGAACTCAGTTGCGTACTTTGATTGGTTATATGCTGTCGTCAATTGCTGGGTTTCACTTGACGTCCTTTCCTGTCTCGTGTGGAATGCTCATCAGCTGAATCACAAATTTCCAATATAAATTTTTCTAGTTAACAGCACATGGTGGTCAGTGTATGACCACTATTTGAAGGAGATAATGAGATTCAAAGACTTATTAACTGATTGAAACCCAGCAGTTCAAGAGGGAATTCAAAAACGGTGTCACAAATGCGCATCACATTCCCTACTTTTCAAAAGACGCTTATTCAATCATAAAATGCAAGGCAAATTATTTATTCAGGCCTGAAGAGGGAACTAAAAAAAATTTTTTTTCAGGGTTGTTGTAGCTGTCCTGGATGGCTTCCATTTTGATTTGAGTTCTTACAATCTGAAGGTCGAGTCATCACAAACACAAGGTATGGAGTATGTGATATACTTGTTCCTTTAACCAAGACCATCTCCAGATGTGGCACGTCTTCTCGTGTTTTAGCTTCCTCCCTTCAAATTTACATCGGTCTGAGAAGCTATTTTTTAGATCGATGGAGGCCAGAAACCTATGCAGACGTCTGGAAATGTCTAGGGATAAGCATTTGAYATCTTTTTTAGCTAGTCAGTGTTTTCTGTGTGATCTCTGCACGATGTGTTTCTTGGAAGACCCTTTGAACTGAAACAATATTTTTTTCAACAGAAACTCCACGACAAAAAGAACTACAGCAATCCAACGAAACCACAGAAGGCATTGACATCCAAGAGAAGCAAACAGACGAGAAAGATGATGATGATGATCACGATGATGATGATGATGATGAATTAGAAAATGGTGGTGACAATGATGAAAATACCGAAGTTAGAGCCAAGAACGAAGATATCACTGAAGCCTTGGCCAAGAAAATCTACGATACGATTRCAAAGAAAATTCTGCCTCAGCTCAACAAGAGCCTTACAAAGAAGGTAAGGTTTATTTATCGCAACAATATTACAATAGCGCTGCGCAACCGTGACGTCATAAAAACGAAGACAAAGGCGAAATTCGGACAAACAAACTTACAAGTTTACTTTCAGCAGATAATTTTCACAGCCGATCGCAGTTGATCTTAGCTTACATGGGTTATTATTGTAACTTTAAGTAAAAATAATAAAACCGGTTCGTATAATCCTCGTAGCGGTTAAACAGAATGCAATGCTTGTCCGAATCTTTAAGCTATTTTTAGCTATTATTACTTCTCAAACTCATTAATAATTCATTAAGTCAATGACCAATGGCGACTTTGCATTGTAATCACGTGCACGCACCTTGATACTTGATCAACAACGATGACAGTAAACATCAGCAACAACACAACAGCAGCAACAACAGCTACATCAGTCTCCTAAATTCTGATTGAATCTGACATTGAACGATTTAATAAATATCTACAATTCTTAATAAAGTATTATTATTATTGATTTAAGTATTTCAGACCACGTCTCATTCTCTTGAGAATAAGATTCTTTGCAGTCGTATCCGTATTCATGTGTCTTCTCATGCACAACCATTAAACAAAGAAATGATACTCTAGGGAATGACACGTGGCCCAAAACATTATGCCTAAGGATAAGAGTGTCGCAGTCTAAAAATCTTGTCTCGTAGGTTGAAAGTTATCACAAGTTGAGCCACACGAAATCAGACGATCAACAAGAAGCATTAAGGGTACCCATTGCATTAGCCATGGTGAAGCTACTGAAGTCATTACCCCAGCATACCCTACATTTGCATCTCCCAGGGTACGTATCGTATATATATATATATATATCGATCCATCCATTCATCCATCCATATATCCACCCACCCATCCACTCATTCATTCATTCCTTTATTATTTTTTATTATTTATTTATATTTATTCATTCATTCACTCATTTATTTATCTTATTTAGTTATTCATTCATTTATTTATTTATATTTATATTTATTTATATTTATTTATATTTATTTATTTATTTATATTTTAGTAGTACATTGTATAATAATTTTTTTCTCATCTTAGTCTTCTTCTTCGAGTCTGCATTACGTTGAAAAGTCGTGCACGGGATGTGAGGGATACCGCGCGGGATGTTTTGTGTCAAATAGCCTTGTCGCTGGGAACAAAGTATTTTTCTTTCATCATCAAAGAAATGAAATCCACCCTGACAAGAGGATACCAGGTAATTAGAAAAAAATTACTTTGTTATAATCACCATCATCATCATCATTATCTTTAATGTCATCATCATTATCATCATCATCGTCGTCGTCATCGTTATCATTAAGTCATCACCATTGCCTGCATCATCTCATCATTATTATTAATGTCATCACCATCATCATCATCATTATCACCATCATTGTCATCACCGTCATCTTCCTTGCACAAATTCCAATAACCATCATCTTTCTTTCTTTTTCTTTTTTTTTTTTAATAATATTATTATTTTCACCTTGCCCACTAGCTTCATGTCCTTGGATTTACCCTACATTCTCTCTTGGATCGCATGTTACCAACCCTTTCACCTGGAGATCTGGATCATTGTATCCCCAGCATAACAGAGGTATATATCCTAACTTTCTATTTTTTCTTTCATTTTTCATTATTCTACATTTTTATAACTAATAAATCTAACTGACAACCATCATGAGAAAGCAAATTTACAATAACCTTCATGTAAAATGAAGGCTTACTTGTGTCCACACTTAACTATCAAAAACGCCGAGCGTTTTCAASGAAAACGCATACATTCGAAAAAGCTCCAGATTGGAGACATTTGAAAACGGAGGCCTATCGTTTTAGTATAGACAGCGTAAACGGAGACTTTTGAAAACGTTGACGTCATTCACAACGGCACGTCTTGTTTCTCGCATGCGCAGATGATGATATTACATCATTTATGGATCGTATCTGTGTTTTTGATTGTTTTAGTGTAGACAAGCAAAAACGCTATGAAAACGCTACCGTGGACGCGAAGCTATCGATGCGTTTTCGTTTTCTTACGCCTCGTGTAATACTATAAAACCAGCTTACTCCGATATAAACAATGCCATCAAAACTATTCTTGAAAATTGCTGCGTGCACAACATCACGTCCATCTATATAAACCCAAGCATGCGCAGTAGAATTTAACTTGAAATGACGTCAATTAGCTAGCTGACACAAACGTGATAAATAATCACCTGCTTCAGTGGACATGAAACACATTTTTGTGGAAACCATATAACTGTGCATGTCAGTTTTTCTCCTTTTGTTTTCAACGCTAATTTTAAGTATTTATTTCGAGTTCCAACAATTTTTTTCGGGTTTTTTTTTTTTTGCTTTGTTTATAACAGTACGTTAAGGTTTTTTCTTGCTATTCCTTATTACAATTTCTTTTCTCGCATTCTTTGTCCAGGGTACAATAGTGGCTTTGTCAATTCTATCCCGCTGTGAAGATTGTTCACAAAGCCATAATCCTTCTAAAAGCCGTTCAATCAAATGCTAGTCATTTTTGAGATTTCTTGAGTTGTCATGGAAACAGTGTCTTTTCGATGTATGTCGTGTTGAATGACGGCAAACGGGGATGTTATTCGTTAAGCCCGCCTTGGTCAAGGTCTCAAATGAAGTTAAAATTAATTTTTCCTGATAGATCTTTATTGATATTTTGAGGTCATCAGCGATACCTTGTGCACAATTAATTTGTTATTGGTGTAACTAGAAATTGCTATACTTCAGTATAATATTAAAGGGAACTATCTTTGCTGTTGATTTCTTTCTTTCTTTCTTTCTTTCTTTCTTTCTTTCTTTCTTTCTTTCTTTCTTTTTTTTTTCTTTCTTTCTTTCTTTCTTTCTTTCTTTCTTTCTTTCTTTCTTTCTTTCATTCATTCATTCATTCTTTATTTATTTCATTCTTTCTTCCTTTCTTTCTTTCTTTCTTTCAGTTTCCTTCTTTCTCTGAAATACATCCTTCTTCCTTCAACAGTTTTTTTTAATGTTTTATGTTTTTTTYCCTTGTAAATGCATAAATCCTGGATGAGAGATAATCATGAGAGACTCTCAAGACCAAAGTCAGTAATTACTCTCATCAAAATAGATGTACATTAAATGATGAAGCTGTAAAAATGCACCTAGCAACATAATTCCCCACCGACACAAACAAACCAAATAGACCTCAAAGACCTCGAAAAACATCTACTTTTTCTTCTTGATGAACTTAGAAGTACGTCGAGTTTCCTTTAATAAACTAAACAATGATAATATTTGTGTTTTCCTTAAAAACAATTATCAATGTTCTTATTCCGGACTTCGTTTGAAAAAATCTTAAAATGGCGTTTTATTGCATTTCCGTGACTTTGGTTAACAAATCATATCAAATAAAATATGTTTATGAACTTATTTTCCAAATTAGTATATTACTGCTTGGTAGAGAGTTAAAAAAAATACATTGATACTTCAGTAGATTTTTCATATTTCGGTCGAAGGATCGTAGTTTTTTTGCTTTTAGCCAATCACAGTTTTCGTTATTTAGACTTGCTGGTTTCGGAACCAATCAGAATCTGCGATAGAACGCGGCACATTCGTGATATTTTTTTTAAAAGAAAAATTGAAGATGGTAGTTACAGATTTCGTTGTTTCTAAACAGCACGTAAACRTGTTCCGGAAAGGAATAGCATCTTCTCTCTGATTGGTTCCTCTGTTTTTGGGAGGATCAATCAACCAATCAGAATCGTTCTAAGAACAGTTAAAATAAATCGTTGCCAAATCGACACTCGGTATTTTCTTATCAGCTCCGAGGAAGGAAGGAAGGAACAATTGAGCATCGCTGTATATTGTAGTTTGGATCGTTATTTTGTGTTACAAGGTTCTTCAAAGACAAGAGGAAGCTTCCGAGCCTCTTTTCCGAGCCTCTTGAGTAACCCATGAGTGGTTGATATATTGTGCAAGTCAGTGAAACGTGAAACTTTGATTCAATTACGTGGAGTTGTCCGGTTTTTGTTTCGAGCCATTAAATTCCGAGCAACACTTTTCCTAGAACAACTGATCGTGTAAGGAAACACCCTGGGATACGAGACATTTAGACTAGAATCAAGGTGACCAAACAAAAGCACAATACTCTTATTTAGAGTTAGTTCTAAAGTGAATTGTTCGTAGTACAAAGTACCTCTCTTGTGCGCTTTCATTGTCCAATTACAGTGCTGTAGTTGTGACAATACCAAGAACATCAAGGAAGATTACGAGAGATTTACAGGTTATTCAAGTAGRACGGATACCAGACCTACTCACTCTCTGAAGCAAGACCGCAACTGATAAACATGGCGCACAACAACACCTCTTCTCCTGGTGCTTCAACTTTTGGTAATTCAACTTCTGGCAATTCAAGTCTTTTCAAAAACGAAAGTTTGCCAAGATCCAGATCAACTGCTGGGATTTGCGATACGGACGTTAGTGATGGAGCACTCGCATTCAAAGCACTGTTTTACATTCTAGTAATCATATGTTCTCTAGTTGGCAATAGCTGCATCGTTGCTGTAGTTTTGAGGAATCGAAGGATGAGGACGCCTGTCAACTTCTTCATACTAAACATGGCCATTGGTGATCTGTTGATAACGGTGTTCTTCATGCCTCGTATGTTAACTCGTATCTTCTATGGCGTGGAATGGCAGATCGATGGGCTAACTGGCTTGATTTTGTGTAAAATCTCCCCATCTATGCAAGAACTTTGTTCCTGTCTGTCTGTCCTTTGGTTCATGGCGATATCGATAGACAGATTTTTTGCTGTTGTCTTCCCGTTGAAGAAGATTATCACCAAAAATGTTGCCTATATGATGATAGCGGGTATTTGGTTCATCGCGATAGCTGCGCGCTTTCCATCTTTCTATTACTTGAACCTGTACTACTTCCGTACAAATGTGTACTGCACAATAGTGCTTAAGGATAACAAACTTCTGGAGGAAGTTTATTATAACTTTTCGTTTGTGATTTTTTACGCCGTCCCGCTGTGTATCGTGGTGATTCTCTACACCGCTGTTATATTGGCGCTGAAAAAACGCAAGCGTCCCGGAGCGACAAGCTTGACTCAACAAAACAACCAACTCAAGAGGACACACAGAATCCTCAAGATGCTGGTCGCTGTTGTCATCAACTTTTCCATTTGCTGGTTTCTGTACTTTTGCATACCTGTTCTCCTGCCATATTTGGATTTACAGATGGCTTGTGATCTTTTCTTCCCGAGGTTTTTTCTTTCTCATCTGAATTGCGTCTTCAATCCTCTTGTTTATCTTATTTCCATCGAGAATTACCGTCATGGTGTTAAAAACATCTTTTCCTGTCTCTGCCCCAAACGGTTCTGTATCAACGCTGTCGCCCCTGAGGATGAATGCAGTACATCAGAGATAAGGAATAAAACTCACGGACGATCGTCAGTCTTTGTTGTGGACAACGAGACTGCTTCTAACAAGTACAATACGAGTACGTCTCCTCTCTGAACATTTCCTGAATCCAAGACGAAAAAGATAGGGAAAAAAGAGAAAGATATGAAAGAATTAAGACAAAGCCAAACGTGGATTCTTTCTTTATCAGTTGGTGATGGGTTTATTGCGACGTTACGAACCACTTTGTAAGACACTACAGAAAAAGAAAAAGGCATTAAGTGCTAAAAACATTACAGCAAAAACACGGCATTATAAGATGATAAATTGAACCAAACAATTGAACAAAAATGCATCTACCGTTGTATATAAAGAGTAGGATTTATTTCTCTCTAAGATTTTTGAATTTTGGCTTGGAAACAGCGCATTTGGTATTCATGTATATATATTGATAAAATATTTAGTTCATTCGCAGAAAACGTGGTAAAATAACCTGARAAAAAAAAGTTGCATATAACTGCGCGAAAATCCAATAAATCTCTATCTACGAAAGAGAGAGAGAGAAAAATATTGGTTTGACTAAAAATTTAGCTTGGAAATTCCAGCGAGCATTGACTGTCCAAAAATATAGATAATCTTTATCTAAAGTGGGATTTTAAAAGCTTTTAACTTCATAGAGAAAGGAACACTCAAATCCTTGTTTAATGCTTTTGAATAATGACGCATATTTGTAATCGTACCCCAGGGAGTTGCCAATCCTTGGCGATAATGAACTTTAATTTATTGTAGAAACTACACGGGTCTAGTTGCTAGCAGTGATCGAAAAGCTAAGAAATTGGTAAATCGTGCTGCTAAAAATGGCGGTTAACTTGAACTTAATTTTTACCAAAAGAACGCAATTGAGTGTATTAGTAGCTAAATCCTTGCCAGTAAATTGATTTTGTGTCAGTAAGTAATAAACTATTATAAATAATACTAATGTTTTGAAAGCGCGATATATGCATTATTCTAAAGCACTTGCGTTGAARTAAATCAGATATATAGTATGATAAATATACTCCTAATAACATATATATAAATGATAAATAAAGCAATCTCTGAACTAAATAAAATTACTGATATGATAACTTAAAATTATATGTGTTAAATAATTCTGAGGGTTAGTTTGTAATCAAAGGAATTCAATTATTTAAAAAAATTCCAGCTTCAAATTAGATAATTTRTTAGTAGTTTTAGTTAATACTTTGTATTCTTTGTTGGTCAATCGAATAAAGTACGATAAAAAATACGAAAAACAAAGTGTATGCTTTCTTTCCTCATCCATTGATGAACTATAGGAAAAAATTTTTTTCGCGAAAATACGCATTGAAAAAAATTGMCTATACATTTGGAATATTTGCTCTTTTCGGTCTTTTTCCTCTCTTTCCAAAGCAAAAGGTTGTTCTTAAAAGTAAAGTTATATAGCACAAGTAAACTGCGTGACAAAACATCCTAAATGACCCTGTAAATCTTCCGTTCTTTCGCTAACTAGTAGTTAGCGTGTTTTCGAGGCTACGAAACCTAAGAAACCATAAGAGGCGAATGTATAGCCAACAGATAATATGAGCTTATAAAATCAGCAAAAATACGGTTCTAAATTTTAACAAATTCCTATGAATTATATAACAAAATGTTCAGTCTGTGAATAGTTAAATTAACTGAATCCACTTCTGTTTTTGCCTATATAGTCATTATTTTGAGAAAAGATCCAAAAACCGTGTTTTTGAGACATAATTTGTATGGGCTCACATGAGGGGGTGTGAGCTTGAAATCGTAGCTGACCAAATGTTAACAGGTTTTTTCTAATGTTGAGATTTTTACCGATAATTCCATTTACGAAAGCTCATATCCTACCAAAGTAAAGGAATATTGTCTTTTGCAATAGTAAAACTATACTTTTATCTTATATTTAGAGATATTTGTTTTTTTTAAGCGAAATTTTGAATATTTGATAAGTTTGTTTATTGGAATACAAAGCGGAAATCAAGACAATTTTTTAAAGTCGCTGAAAAGTACAAATATGAAATTCCCATTCTTTTTTTAACTACTATCTTTATATAWTTCCACGTGTCTGTTGCGTTATTCCCTCGAGGGTTTTTCTCCAGGTTCTCTGGTTTTCCTCCGCCCATAAAATCAACATGTGAGTCGGAGTGTTATATGAGGACATTGAATGCCGTGGTATTGTGTGAGTGGGCCAAATTGGAAACCCGTATACATTTGATTCTGGATTTGTTCTCCTGGTATTAAAAAGTATTTTTAGCAAAGCTTTTTGAATTATGTTTATTTCAAATCACACTGTTTTTATTCCATCTTATTGTATAAAAAAGTTCGTTGTTATGAGATATCTAAAGGTCCATGCACCAGTGTTTTGCGTCATAAGCAACATAAAGTCATTACCAAAGCTAAAGACAAGCTCTTCACAGCTTTTCCTCTTCATCAGGCGTTGACGACCTTTTGCTCGTTGCTGTAAACAAATTTGTTTTACGAGTTTAGCACCATGGAAACGCATTTGACTAGTTCTAATCGCAGCTTTTACCAAAGCAAATACGAGGGTTATAAATGGGACATCATTCTAGATAGTTCATTTGGTATTAACACGTTGACTGCCATTAGCACGTCTGTGGACGATTATAATGGAATTAAGATGACTTTTCTGGGGAATTACTAGGCGATTATCATGTTTTTATATCTTATTTTTCTCGCATTATTCTTGTTAATTCCCTTTTTAAAGCATTGAAATCAAAAATAAATCTTATTACCCCTGCTATCGTTTATTTTTTAGATTATATTTGAGAAAGAAAAGTGTTAATTGTTGGCCAACCTATACCGATAATTATTATATTTTCTTCGGTATTCTCGTTGTTATTTCAGTTCTATCCTATTAGCAAACTTTAGTTTAGGTTTCATAATTTACAGTGAATTTTCGTGATTTCTTATTTTAGTTTAGTTTTTTGTTTATTTTTCCCCTGTTGCTCTTATCACGGCATCTCCATTTTGTTTTCAAATAAGCATGCCTAATTCCTTAAAGATTAATTAATGTATCGACTAGGTAAGTGCTTCATATAATGCTGTCGTCTACGACTTATTTTTAAAACTCACATCATTGCGAAAATATTTCGGTAAAAACTCCTTCTTTCATTTATTTTACTCTAGAGTTAAATACCTCCACCACTACCACCACCACCACCACTTGAACAAAAACAATATCCAAGACAATAAAATAAATTAACGATTTCAAATCATGCAAAAGTTATAATATAAAAAAGTAATTCGTCTTGCGTATTTAGGTTTTGTGTGGAAAAGAATCCAAAACTAGAATTCCTCCTATTCCTATGATTTTCCATTCAGCGAATCTTATCTTGGCAAAAAACGAAGTCGACAACTCTTTCCTCTTTTCTCAGCCATAAGCGTTTCCATGGTTTTTAAAAAAGCTCGTAAAAAATCCCTCGTTTTACCAGAACTTTGAATGACGCCAGCAGCAAACACAACCATAAATAAACCGGCTTGTCTATTCTACAGGATCGAGGTTTAAAATAGAAAAACGATAAATTTTGTTTAAGAGCTTTTTATTTTCAATGGAGTGAAAACTTTTTTTTTTTTTTGAGGAGTTTTAGAGAGAAAAAATATGGCTGACCATACAAGCTGTATTTAATGCTTGATGGGATAGCTGTGGATGAGTATTTTTAGTCGGTAAACCAGTTAAAGCGGGGGGTTTAATATATTGACTGTGGATGCGGGGGATTTATTTTAGATTGTGCTGGACGAGAATAGATTCATGTAGAATCCCTGATGCAGGGTCAAGGTATGGGTTATCTTGTATGTGGCATCATTAACCGTCTATTGATGATGTGCATTGAAATAATAACGTAAAATGAGATATATATATATTAATAATGTTTAATAGTGTTTCCCTTCTATCCTTGGTGCTGTTTATAGATGATGGTGTTGGTGTTGGTGTTGGTGTTGGTGTTGGTGTCGGTGTCGGTGTCGGTGTCGGTGT